ACGACTGCTACGACTGCTACGACTACGACTACTAGCACCACTACTGGCTGCTGCTGACAGTGCCACTGCCACTGCTACTGCTGCTGCTGCTGCTGCTGCAGCTACTGTACGACGGCTACGATTACGACAACTACTTCCACTGCGCTTGTTCTTACGCTTACTTACTACTTCACCTATTACTGCGGTTTCGGCTACTACTACCGCGTTGTTTTGAATCTTGCCTCCCAATATTGTTTTGCTGCGTCATGGTCAGAGTCGCACTCTGGGCATTTGAGATGAATGCATCCTTGACAGCGCTTCCCGATAGACCTGAACATCCAGAACCCAATCTGTTATTCCTGGAGGAGCATGCTGGGCGACAAGAAATGACAAGACAATTACTGTATTTGCAGGATGCAGGCCCTCGATCCGAATGGGAAGAATCGTCTTGTAAGGTCATAGGGTGAACACCAAGGACTTACACAACAACTTGGTAAACGACCTCGAAGCTACTCGTATTGTTGCTCTGTGAAATGCACTACATACATCATCAGTGGCTAGTGTAGTTTTAAACCTTTCATTCGAGTCCTGGTTATGTTGCAGACTGTGCGCCCCGAATCCTTTGGGTCCGCCCCCGAACTTCCTCGGACTTCGGACCAGAGTTTCTATCTCGATGTGTCTTTCATTGAGCTTGTCAATGGGCTGCCGGAAGCTTCCTCATACCGGGTCAGCTTTCAAGCCTTCGCCTGCAATCTCTGCACGAACATCACTGGTGCAGACTGGTGCAGCTTTTGGCCAGTGCCTCTCTTTTCCCGGGTTTCCGGTTGGCAAACCCTCAGCCTTCAGAACGGGTCGCCACCGGCATTTCAGAAAGAGGAAGGAGGAGGCATGCAGTCGAGGCTTTGTCAAGGGCGAGGTCGGTGACAGAAATCGCTCCAGAGAGCTGAGGCAGGCAGGCGGCAGAAATCGGTTTCCGTGGGGCAAGCGGGGGCAAGTGGCAGATCATGTAAAAATCCAAGCTTGCTCCGACGTACACACTGCTTATCAAGTCTTCTTGTCTTCTTCGGAAGCACGCGCGAGGATCGTTTACTCCATTGAGAGCGATGATGAAGCCGCCCAGGACTCAGAAAGCTGCGCCCAAACGATTCACCGCCTCCTGAACTGCCTTGCCACGGCCGCAAGGACAACACCGAAGACTTGGATGGCAAGCCGCAGTTGATCCAGGCATGGGTCGCATGGGATTAGCGGAAGGTGAAGCTCTTGTCATCATGTTCCCATTTGTCCATGTTGTTGGCGAGCCCGCGCGGTGAGACACGTGGTGGCAGTACCCGCCAGGAAAAGGCGAACTGAACGTTGGATCAGGGTTTTGTCATCTAGGGTATCTCTGGCGGGTGCCATCGCTGCCCCATCGCCGCACCAGTGGCTCCCCGGCGCGGTATGCGGTGGAGGGTTCGTTTGTGACCTTGTCGTTGCGAAATGAATAAGAACTGTTTGCGACGTTTGGTCAGCGGTTCGCAAGTTTCTCTTGCTCCTTGTCGGAGCCGTCTTCTCGCACTGCGGCATCAACTTCCGCATGTTCTTCTTTCTGAAGCCTTGTCTCAGATTTAAGTTTCTCGATGAGTTTTCCGTGCTGTCAGCTTCCTGGATGATTCATGATTTCTTCAACTTCGACCTTGGATTGGTCTGCCACCTCGTCAGGGGTCATTCCGAGCGATTTACAGTAGATTCAACACTTTCACCTTACTGTCACTAAACCAATGTCTTCGTGAGCAAGAACGGTGAGCGCCCCAAGTGGCTGAACTGAACTAACTGAACAATAGCCAGGAGAATGCCCTTGTTTGCCAGGTGAAGCAAGAAGTCCTCTTCAAGCCAGCTCATTTTGCCACAAAAAGGCGAGGAAGCGGAAATCACGAGCCCGAAGATGAGCCGGTTCCGGCTTGAGATTATTCCTGCAGTTGTCTCTGCAGCACAAAGACAGTCTAATGAAGAAACAACGCATACAATGTGCTTTCATGCGAACTATGCAAAGACCTGTGCTTCTAAAGTGTCTCAGTAGAGGAAAGCGAAATCAGGCGGAACGACCCGCAACAGAGCTGACATTCGCTCACGAATTGATTTACGAACGGAACATCGCCAGCATGCACGAGCATGTCAAGGCTGCATAGTCGCAGGACTGACACAGCTTCCGTTTCTGGTGAGTTTCGCAAGTTTTCGACATGCAGGGCATCCGTGCATTTTAATTTTGGCGGCAGTTAGCCCTTAATTGAAGGACTACAGCCCATGTACCCAATGCACCGCCCTTAACTGAAGGGCTACGGAGGAGGCCCCTGTACCTTATGTTCGTCCTTATTTGAAGGACTACAGAGGAAGCCCATGTACCTTATACAGAGGAGGCTCACGTAGCGGGCATGTAGCCGTGATCTGCATGATTGGCCGTGGTTACAACACGCACAGCATGAGCATGCACCGAGACAGCACTGAGTGAAGCTTCTATTGGTGGCGTGTTGGAGCAACACAACATCTGGAGAAGGGCCGGTGCTCCGACCGTAAAAATCACGGGCACCACCTTCCGAGAGCGGCGTGGGGAATGTATCTTTTTGGGGGGTTGCGCTGCAGTAGCTCTTTGCATCAACAATACATTGAGTGGTCGTGCGGACAAGCAGTTTCAGCTCCCTGATGGCCCCCTCTGAAGCCCGAGGCTTTGCAGAACGTGTTTTACAAGATGCAATTGTCCGACCAGGCGTTTTCGACAGCTTGTCTCGCTATGTGGCTGCATGCAAGAGACTTCCCAGGCAGTGAACTGCAAGGAGCTCATGAAGCGACTCGGCCGCAAAGTGCTTATGCTCATGCACCGTGCAAGCTCCACAGCAGTTTGCTGGTAGGTCTTTTGGGTGGGATACGATGGATGCATTCACCCAACACGATGCACAGGCACGAGAAAAGATGCAGAGGGGACTTGAACTTGAAACATCTTGAAACAATAGTGTCGTGACGTCTTTGGTTTTTCCTCTTGACTGTGCGAAGGAGTTGAATCGAATTTTGTGCGATCGGCTGGAGGCGTCCCGCCTTGCACACTTTTTGGGAGGGGCATTGTGTTGACAACAAAGGAGCGGATGAAGAACACACCTTCGGATGGATCCATCAAGCGACTCTTTGAAGGCAGATGCCATTGTTCCTATCAGCTGCTACAATCCCCAAAACCTCTTGGACCACGGAGGTGAGATGGAAAACTATATTGAATGTATGGACGTGGACTACAAGCCTGGAGCTTGTGGATGCTTCAGTTTAAGTCTGAAACAGTCAGGCGGTTCACCTGCCGAGATCTCGACGAAATGAAACCTTCTACGACATACAGCTGACCATCAAGTCTGAGAGGGGCCAGGCCGAGAGAGAGAGAGAGAGCAGAGAGAGACCCGCGGAGACTCTACAGGGCGCTCGCGCGGTAGGGGGGCGACTCCAGACCCCAGCCCGCCCTGGCGAACGAGAGAAAGGTGCTGACAGACTCGGGGAGTTCATCGCTCCAGCCTAAAAGGAACTGCAGAACATCGCTGAGTCTCTCCACGATTTCACGGCAGAGGAGTGCCTTTTGCAGAGCAGTGCTTCCAGAATGTTCCCCTTCTGCGTGCTGGATGTAGGATTTGCTATCAGGAGACGCTGGAAGGCGACAATGCATACGAGGTCTTCGGTCGGCGTCCTTTCTCTTTCCTTGCAAAGCATGCCAGAACAAGGAATTTCTGAAACACCTCTTGACCACAGGCCGAGGGCTATGGAAAGCAACGCGCAAAGAGCCATGGACACATCAAATCCCGCGTTGCAGTAGGATTGCTTGATGCAGAGTCGGGCAATCACCGTGATCTAAGGAAGGGGATTCGTTTTCTCAGGCTGCTTCCCAAATTGGCATTGGGGTCGTTGTTTCATTTGCCGTCACTTGCAGCTCTGCATTAGGACCTTAGGACTTACTGTCCAGACACACCTGGTCCAGCCCAGACAGGTTCCCACCAGTGTTGAACCTGCAGCTGAAACGCTTCCACTTTGACCTGGAGAAAATGGACATGGCGTGAATCTCATTTGATCGCAACTTTGTAGTCAGAGGATTGTGTCATAGTCTTCGTTGTTTCCTTATGTATACTGGGACTCCATAGCATTCCCGTAGCGGCCATAGCGCTTCTGACCGCTGTCAAACGTCGACAGGTGAAACTGAATTCCCGCTTCGAATTCCCACGCGAGCTCGACCTCAGCCCCTTCATGCCAGATGCAGGCAACAGCGGGATCAAGTCTGGAAAGATGTGAATTTCATGCCGCAAGAACAGAAGTCATGGAGGCAGGTACAACTTATTCGCAGTTGTGGTCCACAATGGGGATGTCAACAGCGGGTATGCATCTTAGCTCGACGGCCAACGGGCAGCATGATCTTGGGTTACGCAGCTTGTGCTAAAGGCACTACTATGCTCATATTCAGCCAGATCCAGAAAGAGGATGGTACTGCTGGCTAGTTTGAACTTGGAACACCAAATCGCCCAGTGATCCCTCGCAGCTGAAGCTGGCGAAGCAGGTTCAAGTTCGATGATGAGATGGTGACCCCATGCAGTGAATTTGCTGCTATAGAAGATAACTACGGAGGAGAATGCCGTGCTGGCCCGTTGCTTTAGAAACTTGTTTGTTTGCTTCCTGCACATGTGCAGGAAGTGATCTCGGAGTCTGGAACTACTTCGACCACGGGCCCCATGAACTGCCTGCGACTCAGTGTCCTGAGCTCGTCGTTCCCCCACCGGAAATACATTAGATTTTGTTGATGTGCATGCTGCTGTACGGGCAACGGAAGTACAACGGAGTCGTCGCGTCGCATGTCCTCGGAAACCGGCCTCAGGCGAAGCGAATCGAAGCTGTAAGATGAGGATACGGCTCCAGCAAGCAACTCTTCAAATCATTCGCGCGACGAGGAGCTGTCAAGTCGAATGTTCTTACCAGAACATGTTTGAAATTGGAAGTCAAGGGTTTGCAAAATATACAGGCCAGTAAAAACTTTCTGTTGTCCAAAGATAATGTTCACTGGTAGAAAAATTCAGGGAGGTGGATACATGCGTGCTGAGTGGTCGCAAGCTTGCAACCAGTTTCGCGTGTGGCGCCGTGCATGTTGGCTTGGGGCTAGCTTTTAGTTTCGTTTCAGCACTTGACGTAGTCTTGGCATGGTCAGGCCAGTTGAATGTCAAACGGGTTTCGCTGAGTTTTCACTCGCCGTCTATTCGATCTTGTGAGTGACTCTGCAATTCTGTGCATGGCACCTGCTGGCCTGATTTCCATCGCATTTTTGCCCCTTGCAGAGATCTGTTGTGTGCCAGCAATGTTCTTGGCACTGTCACCATTCCTGCTTCCCTTTCCAGCCTTCGATGTGCTCGGTCGATCGTTTGAAGGTGTTTGCTAGCATTACTAGCACGCAGTTTTCTGTTCAGTTTTGCGTGCTTTTCGGTCCTTGAAGTTTGGGCTGTAGGCCAAGGCTACTTTGGTCCTGGGACCACGACGAAGACCACATTTTTTCAAACGGTTGGACTTCCCAAAATACATTCAGAAAAAATGCTCCAGCCGCGTAGTTACGAAATCTCAATTTAATTTAGGGCACCCGAACCTTGCACAAAGTTCGTCTTCGGACTTGCATCTTAGCTTGGCTTCGCATACGAATACGTCGGCGGTGTGGCAAAACCGCCGGATTGGAAGCAGTCTGGGGCACGCACCATGAAAATACTTGAAAGCCTCCCGTCAAAACGCGAGAGCTGGGCCGTCCGCCAGGCGGCGGGTTGATTCTTGGCTTCTTCCCTTGCTGGTTCAACTTCCACAGTCACCTGTGCAATTTGTAAACTGCAAACATCTGCATACAAAGACCATGTGGATATCATAATGATATGTCGCAAGTTCAGACATGGACAACTCGCCGTTCCAGCGGGTTCGGATCGGATCGGACGAGCAACAACTTCTCCCCGCAACGACGCCGGAAAAGTCCAGCGCTCCGCCTCCTCGACCCGATTCCCCGATCTCCACTGCCCTACGCTGCCCTACACCTCAAACACACTGCAACCGCACAGCCAAAAACACTGTTTCTATATACCCTTGAACCCACAGATTGGTCCGAGCCTTCGACATTGTACCCGCGACTCACAGTACTGCATTAGCTGCAACTATATGATTGCAAACCCATGGCCCGCAGAAGCGGAATATCCAAACAAATTCCAGCATTCAGCTTCGATAATTGTGCATGCAAGTTTCATTATGCAAGCTGCCGCATGAATGATTCGTGAATGTCATGTGCTGCCATCCGGGTCGATGGCTCGAGTGTGCAAACTGCTTTATGCATTTGCGTCGAGCCGCGAGTTCAGGCGCGGCATGGCTCCACATAGCAAGCCACGGATTCACAACGCGTGACTCGGATAATTTCATAATCTCAGCATCTGTCTAGCCTCTTGTTTCTAATATTTGTAATGGTGCTTGCATAATCCTCAGGTATTTGCTCATGTACATCCGCGAGGTGAACTTCGGCATGTTTCCATGTCGTCACATGTTCAACCATGTACTGCCATAATCTGCCATATTCGAACATTTGTGTTTGTCACAGCCCCAGTGGTGACACAGTGTACGGATGCACAGAGTGCTAGACGCTGAAAGCATCGAAGGATCTGAGCAAACATATCCTGACACCTCCAGATCCCAAGGCCGGCAGATCCAAGTGCCCCTGCATCCGACAGCAGTGTGACAAGCAACAACCTTGGTGCCACAGGTTGTGAGCCCAAAGCTTGTCGATCGCATTGACCGCGAGGCACGACTCAGAGACCCACAACAAAATATGTTGTGGTATGTCAGGCCACATCGACTAATTAGTTGTTGAGCCAGCCATAGCCAGCCCAATGATGTAGGAAAAGCCTGCTAACAGAAACAGTCGTGCTCTGTTCCTTCCAGTTGAAAGGCTCATTTGGCGGAGCAGCGCCGCAGGGAGAGGGTTGAACAACAAACCAAGATCAGGAGCTGCGATTCGACACTGCATCTCAATTCTAGGACAGTCTAGACTCTAGACTTCTGCTACTCTAAGAGTCGATGCGAGAGGATCAAGTTGGTGACGGAAGCCGACCTTTGCCAAATGACTGGTTTCTGGGACCACCAGCAAGTCCCGCGTGGCTCTCAACGCGTTTATGGTCGGTGTTCGCTTGTCGGAATTGGGTTGGTGAGCAGGTCTTTGGCACTGCCATCCAGCCTGATGTTACCATTTGCGGAAATGTTTGTTAGTGTCGTTGTTGCTGACTGATAAGATGGGGGCCAGTCGGACTAACGTTCGGGCAGTTTTGGCTCGTCTTTAGTTGTCTCCCTTTTGCGCGTGGCTTAGCCACAGACTCTACTTGTCGCAACCGCTGCTGCGGAATGCCTTCGCATTAAAACCTATCGTCCTGCCCCTCCCCCCCCGCGCAAATTCAGCATGCCGCATACTGGCATCGACTTGGGCAAAGATGTTGAGCGATCCTGGCTAGATTCGAGACAAGGTGCAGTCAAACGTACAAGTTCGGACGGGAGAGCCCTGTGAAGGAGTGTCCCCTTGATGATTGCAGATGACTGCGAAGTCATGCGAAGTCCTAGTGGTCTGGTGCACTCTCCTGGAACTGGCAGGACCTCATGGAGCAATTTAGCCAAGAGACGGGCGTTGACCAGAGCCTGGGCTGAGCGGAGCCCACACCCAATGAGTCGACAGATGAAGGGCACTGAGCATCCTGAGACTGTGAAAGACTCAAGGAATCACATGGCTCTGTTCGTGCTTCAGTGCTTCCTGCGTGTGTTGTGCGTGACTCATTGTCGTTGAATGTTTGTGGCTTGGTTGAGCCGTCCGCGACAATCTGAAAAATCGGGAGGTATCGTTCCTCACCTCCTCAAATCAGATTCGGCTACATGCAGCTCGACAGCGCGTTCAAGCATTGGGCCAAGCTGCTGCAGTTTCTTGTTCGTGGATGAGCCCTTATAGCAATCTAGTCGTGCGAGGTTGCACATCCCTCCATATGGGGCTCCTCACTTTGATGTGAGTGATCCCAAACTCCTTGTCCTCGTGGTTATGTCACGAGGATATAGCGTGGGGGGCTTGGCTTGGAAGCGGTCGACCTCTACAAGTGAACGGCTTTGCCGCACCCCGATACTCAGGTGCGCAGCCTCAGATGGAGCAGAGAGGCCCGGATGAAGTATCGAGAATGAGAATGGTTCACCCGAGTTGAGGTATAACCGTCGCTGGAAACTCTTAATTGTATCCGTGCTTTTACAAACAGCCACCACAATCTCAGGCTCGTGGCCATGGTCGTCCCTGTTTGTGTACATGCTACGGCCTGGATACATGTTTCCTTCTAAACTATAGATCCCTGCGACATCGTAGGCCAACGTGCGCACATACGGACGCCACGGACGCGATCACTTTGAAGAATCTTCAGTACCCGGCGCACAATCAAGACGTCAACAATACACCCCCGGGCCGAAAGTTTCGACACGCAGCTTACGTTGCCAATAACGTGAACATGTACCGCGGAGAAGCCGAGGGACCCAAGACCCGTTTTACGTGGCCA